AAAAAGCAGCAACCTGCTGTTTCTACAGGAAGTGAAAATAGCAGAATTGGTGCAACAGACTTAATCATGTATAAACCAGAATATTGTAACTGAATTTATATTATATATCATGTACACAGTGGTGGAAAGTACATCTACCCAATGTCCTGTGCTTTGGTATAATTTCAAGGTTCGTGTGCCTTAATTTAGTATTTATATTAGTATGTTACTTTCTCCTTGTACTTCACTACATTTATCTGATGCTTAAGTTAGTTTTAAGATGAAGATTTTACACAATACTTAAAACGACAAGCTTTCAAAATGCAACAGTAGTTTTCAGCCTTTCAGTTTTCCTACAGGAAGACGAGTTGGTGCGAAGTCAGGCTCATGTTTTAGACATTTGTGTTGTTAACAAATAAATTATTCTCTGTCTAAACCTCTCACTAGTTTCAATAAATGTTCCAATGATCCAACATCACAGCAAAAATAAGAGATCTTTAAAAAAAAGAAAAAAAAGAAAGAAAAAGGCCCAAAACTGAACACCAATTTCTGAATCAATTATTTATTTTTCTTATTTTCCTTCTTTCTATCTCAGATTTATCTGGTCTCTCTGTAGTTTATAAAACTGGATACAAAGTGGTTCAAACTGGCTCCACCTGCAGCAGCTACACCAGTAATAATAATAATACTGTCCAATGATGATAGATGTTATAATACACAAGTATAAGTCAGCAGGTTGAAAACAGAACTTTTACGTTAATAGTTAAACCACATTTTATCACTGATACGTATGTAGTTGTACATCAGGGGGATTTTCCATGCATGACTTTCACTTGTAATGGAGTTTGCAAGTAGAGGATATGAATACTTCTTTCCCAACAGCAGACATGTACACAAGACATAATTGTTCTCCTGCTTTTCTGGACAAACTGCATCATTAAGACACATGGCACAGGTGAAATATGTCTTTTCGATGCAATTAGACTGCAAAGGATAACATTAAAAAAGTGTTTTGTGCTTTGATTTCTTAAAATTACACAAATAATTAAGCTCAGACTCCTCAAACAGGCAGTAATGAATATGCCCTGTGTGTGTGTATCTGTGTGTGTTTGTGTGTGTGTTTGTAGGCTTCAGTGTCACAGCAGGTGTGGCGGGAGCTCTCCTGAACAAACACTCCACACCTGTCCTCCTCCTCCTCCTCCTCCTCCTCCTCTTTTCCACTTCATCCCCTCCATCCATGAACACACACTTTCTGACAAACAGCTCTCCTTACGGTAAAACCACCTCTTTTCTGCTTGACTCACGCTGTTGTGCGTCGAATCAGACGTGAAAAGCGAGCTGCTTTTGTTCCACTGACCTCACACTACTATCCTGTTCTATCTAACTTTCTCTTTTTTTTTGTTCTCTCGCCGCCTAATATTTCCCTGGCTCTGTCCATGTGCTTTACACCTCCCTCTCTCTCTCCCACTCTGTCTATTTCCACTGACTTGTTTTTGAAGGTTTGATCTGTTTCTCACCTGCCATGGCTCGCCTCCTCCTTCTCCCTCCCTTCTCCTCTTTAATAGCAGGGAGGTTTTCCAGTGAACTCCTAAAACGGACTTGTGTCACTTTAACCGTTATGGGTTTGTTGTCAGCTCAGAATAAAAAGGTCGCAGAGGAGGGCAAGGCAGTGTCTGGTATCCCCGAGAAGCTTATGAATGCCTCCTCTTTGGCAGTGTGTTGGAAACTCTGCATGTTTGCGTATTACGTCTCGCTGGGGTGGACGAGCAAAGTGGAAAAGGACAAATTCTTTGATGAGTCAATGGAACTTGAATATAAAAAACAAGAAAAGCACACAGGCCTCGGCAGAACCCTGCGCCTCTTTCTCCCTCGGTTTTCTCGGGCTTGTTTACTCGGGCCTGTTACATCACCTCCGCGCTCTGACAGAGAGAGATGGATTGTGTGGGAAGAGGATGGAGGTTTGGTGAATACATAATTTTGCTCTCTGTGTAGGCCTCTGTGTGCGCGAGGACGTACTGTATATATGTACGATGCCTTTTTTTTTTCTTCTCCTCTCTCCCTGTGCCTGTGGAGTGAGTGTTGATATGCAAATCGCTCGCAAGAGGAGGGCGTAGGCAGCGGTGAAAGCCCAGGACATTTACTCGAGTATTTCCATTTTACGACACTCGGTACTTCTGTTATTCTGATTTTACATAAACATGATAAACTTTAAGAAGCACACAAGGCCTCTAAACCTCTCAGATGGTGTCCTTTAAATTATAAAATTATAAAAAACAAAGATTAGTCTAAAAAAATGAGGGTAAATTTATGCAGTTTTTTATACGCTGTTAATCATATCTTATTTCTAACCTTCTCATCCTTATGAAGGGTTCAACCTCCAGGCTGGAAACACTGCTCTAAATTATCAATATATAAAGTAATAATAATACTCATTTGTCTTCATACAGCATCTTTCAAAATAAAAGCGCTTTTGACAGATGAAGTACGAGTAAAATACCCCAGAAGGTAACAAAAAAAAAAATCACCAATAAAACAATAAAAGCAATAAAAATTTAAGAAGCAAAAAAAAAGAAAAGAGAAAAAAGCTCACTAACAAGTGACATGAAGTCGATAAAACAACAAAAATGTGTTTTTTTTACGAAGTGATCCAAAATAAAAGTCTGTGATTTTTCACGCCTTATCTCCTACTGATGGACCCTGATGAGAAAAACACTTTTAGATTTAAATCTGAACTTTGGAGCATCCAGAACGCCCCCACATGACGATCTAAGGATGCAAGTTAACTCATATACGGTCAACTTGTGTCCAAACCCAGGACCTGCTATACAAGCGATCAGTGAAATCGATTCAAACATTGAGCCCAGCTGGATTGAAGCCAGCAGGGTCGTGGTTTTAAGCTGAGCTGCTGAGTCCTGAAGAGAAAAGAGTGACTCTTGGCTTGAGCCAGAGAGGAGGGAGTTACAGTAAGTACAGTAAGTCAGAGCAGCTCCACGTTAAGCTGCTACACTCCTGAAATGCTGTTTACTCACTTCTGCTCCAATATTGACGAGCTGACAGTCACGGGGGTCAGATCCTGCAGTTACAGAGTAAATACTTTTACTTTTGATGCTTCAAAACAAAGACTGTGATCCTCTGGAAAGAAAACAACAACAACATATTCAATCCCTTTTTTAAATCAACGCACACATGAGTTTTGCTGCTCCTGCTTTAACATTTACAAGCTTTAAATTGTTATTTAAGCCTATTGACAGTTATACTAATCACATTTTTGTGCCAGTTTGTCCACATTACAGCTCTACTGATGCTTTTTAGCATTTGCCTGCAGAACAGAGCAAATGCTGAGTGCTCCTGCTTTCATTTGCTAATAAAAACCTCTGTGCATTAACTTGCATTGCTTCTTTTATGCAGTGGTTGAAAGTATTAAGTACATTTACTCACATACTCTACTTAACTACAATGCGGACATACTTGCACTTTACTTGAGCGTTTCCTTTTTATGCCTGTTTCCGCTCCGCTGCATTTATCTGACAGCTTTAGTTACTTTCAGGATTTTACACGGCGGTTATTATAACAAGATTTCAAAATGCATCACATGGTTCAGGATTAAACCAGTGGCTTCCAGGTTTTTTTGGCTTCTCACAGAAAGCAGTGGAGTCACATTTCAGATATTTATGAGCTCCAATAAACATCTAAACATCTCCCATTTGTTTCACTTCAAGAAAACATTCCAATATGTCAACAAAAATCAATCAGAAGCAGACTTGTGGGTCATTTATCTGCTATCTCTGAATATAAAACTGGATATAAAATAGTCCAAACTCGCTCCACCTGCAGCAGCTACAACAGTAACATGCAGTTGACATATTGATGCTTTCATATTATGATATGAGTATTTTTACGTTGAGGTTTTGGTCCTTTTACTCAAGGATCTGACTACTTCTTCCATCACTCTGCATGTATGTGTGCAGCATAAATACATGCAATCACTTTGTTGTTGCAGGGGGAAAACATCTTCCCTGCTTGCTGGCACTAATGACCACCGGCGTCCCTCTGCTTAACGACACAATCAAGGGAAACAACAATTTAGCCACCCACAGTCACATCTCACTGACATCAACAAGCGGCCCACTCCCTGCACTGCTGAGCACTTTTAATGCGACGTTTGAGAGTGCATTGATGTGGAATATGCATTTAACCCTGTCGCACAGAGCATCAGTGTGTAGAAACCAGCTCAGGTGCTGCAGATGGCTGGTTTCCTGCGTCCGCCGGGGGATGACAGGAACATTATTCTCACCTCCGCTCATGCTCTCTTCAATGAAAACCTTAAAACCAAATGGGGTGGGTGCATGTGTGTGTGTGTGTGTGTGTGGTGATGCAGGGCGATGCAGCCTGGGAACCTCTGAGATGTGGGCGCTAAATACAGGATATGGAAGGAGGAGGGAAAGGAAGAAAAAAAAAGAAGAGTGATTAATTGCACTGGAGATTATCATCATCATTTTCAGCATCACTATCACTCAATCATGCAGTTATGTTCAGCTCCAAGGAACACTGTGCTCTGCCCGCGTACGTGTTTTATCTGTCCAGCTCTTGTCTAAAAGTATTTTTATAAAGTGGGGGAAGGAAATTCCTCGCTGTTTTCCATGGCTGCTCCCAGTATTAATGTAGCACAGACTAGCAGCTGAGTATATTTATTTTACTTTTCACAAAGCAGCAGCCGGACAGAGGTATGCGTGTGAAAAGAACTTTAAAGCATCAAAAATATTATTTTCGCTCGAACATAAATAAATAAACACCCCAAAGCCAGGTCCTCTTTGGAATGTAGTAATTCTGAATTTTTATGAATGACTGCATTCATGCTTGGCCACGCCCCCCACCGCTCGCCCTCCTCCCTTCCCTGCTGGGATACCTTGGCCGCGCGCCTGCGTCCTAATTGGTTAAAGGAGGTCCGGAGTGGGCGTGGCCGCCATAAAAAGCACGGGGCTCGTATAAAAACAAGGCTCAAACTTTGATCGGCGAAAATTTACAAGTGATGCAGGACGTTTGAGGATAATTTTTTTTCTTTTTTTGTTGCTTTTGCAAGTCGGATTTAACCTTTTGTGGACAAAAGCTATTGTTTGCTGTTGGAGGATTTTACTCTTTCTGTGACAGCCCTCCTGCTCTCTCCTTATGTGAATCAGCTGACAGCAATGGGGACGCTGCTGCTGTTGTTTGCTGTCTTGCAAGTGGCCACAGTGGGTTTGGTAAGTGCGTGGACTGAAGGTTATTGTGTGTCACTGCTGTGCTTCATGCAAAACAATGAGGACTAAGGACTCACGTGCCTGCGCTGTGCTGCAGCTCCAGGGGATTTGAGCTGCTGTCGTCTGGTCTGCATGCAGCCTAATCTACCACTTGCTGTTAGTTTGACATGTCCAAAATGATCCTCTAATGAAGTCCTGCTCACTGACTCTCCAGGTCATCACCACTGATTATTAGTCAATACTGTCTCCTAGTTGTCAAAGTGGGGCTTGTGGACCAACAGGAGACATTTAGGGGTGTTTCAAGGGGTCCTCAGCAAAGCATAATTAAGTTTTTTTTAATGCTTTCTATTTGCAGAGGACTGTCCTGCAGCATATATGTATATAAAAAGGTCTGCACTAGTTTTTTTTTCATGGTGGAGCCAGCTGAACTGTTATTACACACTGTTGGGTAGTTTATATCTATAACATGCTCTTTTTTTATATTTATTTTCACACATCTGCAGCTGTGCATAATGGCTAAACACTCACTTTCCTTTTCTTAACCTGCAGCCTGTGTTTCAGTGCTTTTGTTGCTGTAAAGGCCAAAAAAACCTACAAATACTGGGTCAGTGAAGCTGATTCTAATGTTGCATCATATTTTCCAGCACGCTCTGTGCGTAAAATGTTCATCTGCAACATAAATAAGAAGAATAAAGCCTCGTGTAATGAGAATATTTGGTACAAGCACTCCAAATTTGTACCTAAGTATAGTATTTAAGTAAATATAATAAATCACACTCCTTCATGAACTATTTCTGCCTCATTTAAATCTAAATTCATAGCCAAAGCGACAGAAATATTTCCTAATTATGCAACAAAGTCGTGTTTATTCAGGCTCTGTGTAAGCGTTTTAACTATTAACGACTTGTACATATGCCTACTGTAGGTCTAAATTTACGCTACAGTAATATTATCCAACACTTATACCAATGGAGATAAAAATACACGTAAGGTCAATATGAACTCGCTGCCCACTATAAATACCGGCCGGAATATTATGTGGCTTTTGGTGAGGAAGCGTTTCGAGCACCACGTTACGAGCAACTGTGTGTAAAAATGTTATTGTTGTTTAATTTAATAATGTGACATTAAAGCGACCCAGTGAAAGCAGCGACACCAGAAGCTTGTGTGCAGAGTGGCAGAGTCAGGAGGGGATTCCTTTCGCTGATCCGAGTGTGGACAGTCAGACTGATGGCTCCCTGTGATCTCAGTACCTGCTGGGAGTTGTTGAAGTGGCTCTTGTGATGTGTGTGTGTGTGTGGACGCAGGAAGGGTGAGAAACAAAAGATGTAGGAGCAGGGAGGTGGGGAGGTGGGGTCAGAGAACGTCCCTTTCATCCCCGCTTGCCAGGCGAATGCCAAGCGGAAGGCGACAGAGGGTTACAGATACCCCTGTGGGGTTTTGGGACAGTGCTGAGTATTCAGGCGGTGTTTAAGCCACACACACACTTTGAGGAATTTCTGTGATCTGGGTAACATGAGGCGAGCTATTGTCCTGCCTGCTTCCACTGTGACTTACTTGCTGGAGTTAAGTAGGTTTCCTGATATTAACTGAAGTCTGTCCCTTCCTGCAGGTGACCGCTGGATGCCCGGTGGTGTGCGAGTGTCCGGCAGGGCCCCCAACCTGCCCCCCAGGGGTGAGCTCAGTCCCCGACGGCTGCGGCTGCTGCAAGGTGTGCGCCGCCCAGCTCAACCAGGATTGCCACGAGGGGCGGCCCTGTGACCACCATAAAGGCCTGGAGTGCAACTACGGCAACGACGTGGGCCGTACCCATGGCATCTGCAGGGGTACGTACCGCAGAGGTGGCAGGAAGGCCGAATGGGAGCGGTGGTGGGGGGAGGAGGAGGAGGAGGGCCGAGGCGTTTTTGGGTTTAGATTGGGCACAGTTCGGGGTTGAGTGAGGGAATGTGTAACTTCAGGGTGGGGAAGCTGGCTTCCGAGCCAGGCGGCTGGGGTTTCTCTTTGATAGGGGCTTGAGGTTTGAAGCCTGTGCCACGTCTCAAAAACAGAGCACCTTCAGGAGCTGCGACTGAAACCTGGCCAACTCCGGGATTTATATAAGTACTTCAGTGTGTACACAAACAGCCCCATGAAACACACACAAACACGCATGCACACACAGTGGTATTTTTATATGTGTGTTTATTTGGGGGTGTTTCTAAATACGGGGGGGTATCCGGGGTGTTGTATGGGGAGTCCCACTGAGGGAGTGAAGGGACGGGGACATTGTAAACAAGTCAAAATTCCCTTCTGGTCTAAGAATAGAGCTTCCTTCTTAAATGTGGAGATAGTGTGTCTCTTCCTCTCTCCTCTTATCTACCTACTATGCTTATTAAAGATGTATCTGTGGAGATTCTCAGTCATCCATGGTGATCCTGAGAGTTTTGGTAAAAAGCAACTGGACTTCACTTCTCATCCTCATCTTCAGAAGCCTTAAAGAAGCCTCTTGGATGAGATGTAGAAACATCTTCAACAACCAAAAAGAAAAGTCCAGTTGCTTTTTACAGAAGTTCTTACATATTAGAGACGCATTTACATAAACAACTCTTCCTCTTTTTCCTTTACTCCTCTCTCTTAAGTTCTCACCAGTGTTTTCTTTGGATCAAGAATATTTGATTTCCAAATACAATGTTTTCTAAACTTATCTGTTTTCTTTCTTCCCCTCAGCAAAGGCAGAAGGCCGCTCCTGCGAATACAACGGGCGGATTTACCAAAACGGCGAGAATTTCCGTGCCGGTTGCAAGCACCAGTGCACCTGCATCGATGGAGCCGTAGGGTGTGTGCCCCTTTGCCCCAGCCATGTGCCCCTCGCATCCCCCTCTTGCCCCGCTCCTCAGCTGGTCAAGGTGCCGGGCCAGTGCTGCCTCAGCATCGACTGCCACAAGGGAACCACCGTCGTGCCCCCGGTGCACCGGCGACCCCAGCTGCCCGCGTACCCGCCGTACCCGTTCATCCCCTACCCGGCCTATCCGTACCCGAAGCCTTATCCGAAACCTTACCGGAAGCTGTACCCCTACAAACCCAAAAAGGACAAGGACACCATGGGCAACGAGCTGGTGGAGGTGGGGCGCAAGTGGGACAAGCCACGTGGAAACAAGCACCTGGCGGGTAAGAGAGGGTGCCGCCGTGCCGCCTCAGAGTGCCGTCTGTTTCCTCTACGCAGTAAAGCATCATGTTTATGTTTTAGCCATTTTAGCCCCTTGACGCACAAACGGCCTCACTGTGAGCCTTCTCCTCTGCATCTGTGCATGTGTGTTAGCATTTATGTGAGGCTTATTTTCCACTGGCTCCTTGCACACCAGAGGTGCTCTCTCGCTCCCTCTCTCTCTCACACTGCCCTCACACAGCACATACCTCTGTCACCCAGCTTTCCCCTCTCTGTAATCACTCTCTCTGTGCGTCAGTGTTGCCTGTTCAGTGAATAAGGCCAGTGTGCTTTGCATCTCTGCAGCTCTGCTTTTCCCCTCTTACTCCCAATGACCACTTTTCTCCCAGTTTAACTTTTGCTGATCTTGCTTCTCTCCCTCTGGCTCACCATATTTTTGCATTGTCGCTCGTCTCCTCACGTGTCCTCTCTTTCATCTGTCCTAGCCTGGAGGCAGGTGGGAGATCAGTGTGTGGTTCAGACCACTTCCTGGTCCCAGTGTTCCCGGAGCTGCGGGATGGGCGTTTCCTCTCGTGTTACCAATGACAATGCTCGCTGTAAGCTGATCAAGGAGACGCGTCTGTGCAACGTTCGGCCCTGCAGCTCCATGACTATCCCCGTTAAGGTGAGGAATGTGTTTGGTGCTTTTAAGATTCTTATAAAAGGGACACATTGTGGCGCTTCCTCTAATGGCGCTCAACCACGCAGCCCAGGCACCACGCTAAATAGATTCAGGAAAGAATTGCTCTCATGGGGTCAGATTGGTATTAATATCATGGCATGTATGCAGCCCCCACCTCTGGATCTCTGTGTAGCTGGAGCCTCTTTCTGGGCCATTCTGTCTATTCACGGTCCTGTTGCTGTGTGGGAGACATCTCCAGCAGGATGACCGGACAGCTGAATTAGGTTTAACCCCCGTGCAGTCTATGGCTGGGCCACTGTCAGTGAAATCACATCAAAGTTTAAATTGTTGGAAGATATCTTCATCATCAGGTGGAGAGTTGCTCTTAAATGTATGCAGAAAATATAAAGTTAGCTTAGCTTAGCACCAAGACTGGAAACTGCCTCTGACCAAAAGTAGTAAAATCACCCCAAAGTTACCCCTGAAGCTCCCTTATTAGCATGATGCCTCTCGTTTGTTCAAAACTGAGGTTTAGAAATGACATTTAGACGGTCATGTTATTTCTTGACTGAGGGCAGTAACTTCCTTGAGTCTTTACTAGTTGAATGGCAACCACTCCACACCAAGAAGTGTTTTTCCTGGCTCAGGACGGGCATTTTGGGGGCATGACTGTACATGATAGTGATCACGATCAGTCCATGTAAAGGCAGTTGGTTCTTATCATTTTGGTAGCACTAACTTCCCTTTGGTGCTGGCTATAACCTCGCTGCGGATGCCGAAATCTATGCAAGAAAAACCCTTTAAGATCAGTCTGGCACATACAAACACTACTTCTATTGCAGGCCCTGTTCACATGTGACATTAACAACTGTCTCGGTACATTAGATTATAAGTGGACGGCTATAAGGGCAGGTGTGAATGCACTCAAGACACATCGAGGACGCTTTGACATTCAATCACTTGGACTGCATTCAGAGGTTGTCTTGGCGACGCTTTGATCGTGGTGTATGCAAATGTGTCTGGGGACAACCTACTCAAATGACACCCTGTGTGTAGGTGGAAGTATGTATCTTATCTGAATGCCAAGGGTGTCGTATTAAAGTATGACAACAACAACAGTCCACAGAGATACTATACAGTTCAAGGGCTTCATACATCTTAGATGATTTGATTTGCCCACACGAAAAGACTACACCCAACAAATGGTCACAACGGTTCTTGAATGAAGTGATCCAGAAGTATCAACGTGGCAGCAACGATAAGAGCTTTCTCGAATTCTCTATAGGCTCTAGTGCTTCTTTTCATACCTTCTTTAGCATAGCATTGGTCAATCCTTCCTCCTTCCTAGTGTAAGTGCATCTCTTAGCGCCACCGCTGTCCTTTCCTATGTCCACATGGATTCACCTTCTTCACATCTTCTCTAGAGTGTAAACCTCTTGATTTATCAGTAGATCTACGTTCTATCCCTCATCTATGGTCATGAGTGGTGACAAAAAGGATGTGGTCGCAGCTAGAAGCACCTAGAAAGAGTTTCTTCTGTAGGGTGACTGGGTTCAGCCTTTTAGATGGGATGAGGAGCTCAGAAATCCAGAGAGAGCTTGTAATGGAGTCGCTGCTTCTTCATGTTGAAAGGAGCCAGTTGGGTTGATTCGGGATCTGAGTTGGGAGATTTAGGAGGTTTTCTGGGCACTTAACGGAGATCCTCGGATAGGCCCAGAACTGTCTGGAGGGTTACATATCTCATCTGGCCTGGGGATGCCTTGGGATCGTCCAGGAGGAACATCTGGAACGACCAGCTTAGATTAATGCCATCGAGACCCTATGCTTTTTTCCTGACCTCATTACGTTTTACATCAAAGTGAAGGAAGAGTGTTCAGGAAAAGACATAACAATTCAATCAAAACTCCACGCCTGTATTGTTCTGATTTCTTCTTCATATTACCGGCAGACGAGGCAGCACTGCCCACTGCCGGTTAATGCAACAACATATTAGGTCTTTGCCAATGGAAATGATGTACGTGTTTATTTGCATGGCGAGTGAGATGTGATCACAAGTTGTCACTCGAGATGCATTCTGACGCCAGGTGCAAACTGACGTACTTAGAGCTGTCTGGTTGTGATCAGATCTCCAAAGACTCAGGCACATGTTAATACCAGGCGTGATCAGGGCCACAGTCACTGATAGCATGAGAACCTTATTTTCTACTTGTTTTGAAGTTTTCTTTTTTTAAACATCTGTCGGTTCCTGCAGCTCCTTTTTATGAGTAACACACATGAGTTGGTTTTTACACATAAATCCCAGAACTTTTCAGAGGCGTGACTGAGAAACAACCGACTGCGGGGCTTTGGTTTGGAGCTCTGAAGCTGCGACACTGCGGCCGACAGCTGCACTCAGTGGCGCTGTGCTATGTGCTTTAAAGAGTACTTGATTCGCCCACTCTGGTGCTCTCTCACATTTCATACACAGCCCTCTCAGAAACATTCTGCCTCCCGCCGTGAGCCACTCATGAGGCTAAAGGGTTGTTATGCACCTGTTTGGCGGTGCTCTCCCAGTGTTTGCAGAGCTGCCGTGGGTGTTAATGTGTATCAGTGTCAATCCTTAACTATTGTTGGCATGCTATTCTCCCTGGCACTCATCTGCTGCTCTGACCTTTATTTTGTGTTTGCCTGTCTCCATACTTAACTGCATTAACTTTGTTTTTCATGTCACGGAGGATGAATAACGAGTTGCTTGTCGTTGCTGTGTGGTATGGCGGCTTTGATTCCTAGCAAATGGGGAATGTGATCCCACAAAGCTCGGACTGGAAAGCAGTTTTCAGATTGCTCCACATTTCTGTAGCATGTGTGGCAGCATAGCCGTGCCTCCTATGACACATGAAGAAAGATTTTTGCAAGTGGTGTGGCTCTAGGGATCATCCAGTCTGTCCAGCAGACCAACTATTTGATAAATTGCCACATGAAGTTTGGTACAGATATCCATGTTCCTCAGTAGATGAATCCACCTGACCTTGGTGATCCCCTGACTTTTTCTGAAGCACTCTAATGTCAGCCTCTTACATGAGTGAAATGTTGGATTGCATTGACATTTGGATTACACATTCAAGTCCTCCCAGTTATTCACATTTTAGGAAATTGTTTACTTATGTGAACTGGAATTACCTTTCTTAATATATAAGAATAGCATTTCAAGTAAAATCCTGGGTGAAAACATGAAAATATAGATGTTTGAACTAAACTTGTTGAGAAACATTTAGTTGAGCAAACATAATAATAAAAGCTGGCTCTGCTAAACATACTATTGAATTTCCACCAATAACCGCCACAGGAGTCTCTGTCATGGTGGCCCGTCACAAGTAAAACTGCTCACAATACTCTCAGCTACACAAACACTAAAAACCGCCGAACTCATCAACAACAATCAAAATTCAAAAATAACACAATTAAAATAACAATCACATTCCCCATTTTAGCAATTTTAACATTCCCGGGGTTCTTTGCACTGCCAACATGGAGCTGCCTGTAGCCCGAACGACTAACTCTTCGTGTCGCCACGACGAAAATAAAACAAAAAAAGTTGCAGTCTTCCCTGTTTTTAAACAGAAAAAGGCTCCCCCTAGTGGCACAAGCAGATACTACATATAATGTACAATGCGTTTTCTTCTTCTTCATCTTCTTATCTGTAAAATATTTACAATCAACCAAAGTAATAACAGCAATTAATTGATTAATCAATCATTACAACCCTTAGTATTAACTCCAGAAGTCCTACAAGAAAACAGCTGATGTACACAAAATAAGTTGCATTCTTGAAGGGGCTCCTCATAAAAAGCTGAGTGAGTGAAGAAGTCTGTGCAACCTGGACAACTTTTGCTGAGCACATGAACTGACTTAGGAAAATGAGCTGAGGTAGCAAAAACCTCAAAGCCTTTAGCCAGGGTCCAAGTGGTGAGCAAGTGGTCGAGTCAAGTGACTCAAAGCAGAGGGGTCACCCAAAGTAAACAGACGAGAGAGAAAGGGATGTCTTGGTTCATGTTATTTTCTGCAGTGATAAGTATAGCAGACCAAGACTGAAGAATGTTTTAAAAGCTCCAAAGCAGGTGCACTAAAGTACTATCTCATCAAGAAACCTCCAGCACCCGAAGTTGTCAACCAAACCCGCCGTATGCAGCTTTAGACGGGGTCTAGTGGGCTCTATTTATAGTTTTAAATTGGATCGGTCTTGTTTACTGTCCCCTTGACGTTTTATTTCCATTCTGCCTTTGTAAACCATATCTTTCAGTCAGTTTTTCATGTCAGTTTTAGGGACATAAAGATCACAGAGTAGTAGCCAAAAGTTTCCTGATCAAAAGTGTTAAGCACCCACTCTAGCATGTCAGCACTCCAAAACTTCCAAGTTGATTTGTGTACTCATCATGAGTCTGTTATCATGCAGATGTTAGCATTTATCTCCAGGCACAGCTGCGCTTAAGTACAACCTCATAAAACTGCTTGTGTATATATATTTAGACTTTTAGTCTCACTGAGCTCCTTTCACACGAATACCAGAGTCACTCTTTCTTCTCTCTCCATCCACAGAAGGGAAGGAAGTGTTCTCGTACCCATAAAGCCCCGGAGCCCCACCGCCTGTCCTACGCCGGCTGCAGGAGCACCCGCCTGTACCGGCCCAACTACTGCGGCGTCTGCAGGGACGGCCGCTGCTGCTCGCCTCGCCGCACACGCACAGCCAGCGTGACCTTCGCCTGCCCCGATGGCGAACGCTTCAACAGGTCTGTGATGTTCATCCAGTCCTGCAAGTGCAGCGATGAGTGCAACCATCTCAACGAGGCCGCCATGCCTCCACAGCGGTGGCTCTACGGAGACACGCACAAGTTCAAGGACTAGTGGTACTGCCCCGCCCCACCTACATTCCTTCATAAAAACAGACTTTTACTCCCCCCCCTAGCAATACCCATGATAGAATAGCTGTCTTTAGTGTATCTATGAGTAGACGCAAGCGAGGTGCACACATCAAAACATCTGTTCTGGAAGATTATTTGGGGAGGAATGGGGAGAAGAAGAATGAATGAGATGGGCAAACCTCCATCTTGGAAAGTGACCAGCCCCTGCTTTAGTGTAGATAAAAAGTTGTTTCTGGCTTGGCCAGACTACAAACTGTGACTAAATCTTTTGTGTAGAACATGGCTGCACGCAACTGCCATGTTGCTGCCAGGCTCCAAATGTTCCCTGAACTCTGGGACTTTTATTGGGAACAGTGGAGCTGAGCTGACACACACAAGCACAACTCTCTCTTGTGTTTTGCCTGTCTTCTATTATTGATGGTGTGGATTCACATCACAGTTGCTGAGCAAAGTATCAGTTAACAGAAAGCTGGCCTTGTGTTGCTTTGGAGACCAGCTGGAATCATGTGTCTGTGCACTCCAATATGTGAGTATTGATAAACCAAATGAAGACTTGTGTAGAAGACTAGGATGGTGGCGGCAGAAGAAGATGGAGGAGCATCTCAGATGTTCTGACAGGAATGGGGTTTGTGTCTTTTTATGGTATTTATTCACTGGTATTTATTGTGAGACAGACGTGATGACACAGTGGCCCGCCACCGGGGAAGGTGGCGCTGCTATGTTTGGCGCATCAGCACGGCTGAACGATGATCTGAGAGGGACAAAACAGCTGAGAGCTGTCAGTCATGAGACGGAGAGGAGGACTCCCACAGATCCAGGACTTGACCCCGGGGTCAGAGGTCACAGTGGTCAGAAAGCCATATCTAATGATGGATGATGAAGGGTGCAGGAGAGGAGAAGGTATGTACTGGAAAAAGACAGAGTTGAACCTAATGGGTTGAGGCTTTGTACGCATTAGTGGGGAATATGTCAAAGGTTGTTTACACAGCTGGACTCATCCCATGCTTTGCCTCCGCAAGAAACTGAGACATTTAGCAAGCACCAGAAGAACAAGCCTGGGATTCTGGCGTCAAGAAGTCGACCACCTAATTCTGTGCAAATTACAATCCTGACTCTGAAGGGCAGCGAGAGAAAATCAGCCGCTCTCTGGTTTGCTATAAAAATAAAATCTAAAAAACTGCGTGCGCTGAGGTAAACATGTAATTTGTGACTTGCGGGTGGAACCGCTCTGGTGCCTAATGTGGCCTGTAATCGAGCGGCGCTGCCTTTCACTGAAACAGAACAATAACTCATGCCTCCTCGTGCTAAAGTGCGTCTGTTTTTTTCTGAGAAATGCCGTCGAAGGCCGTCCGTCAACGTGACTGTTGGGAGTTTTTACGCAGGGCCGAGGCTGATAAATGTCACTTTTAAAGACAGATTCGAAGGCAAAGTTTCCTGTATTCTCTCATTTCTGTGGCTGAGACCCTTTACTGAAGAACCCGAGCATCTTCCTGAACGGGCACTTGGGTTAAAGTTAGCGCACCTTACGACAGCCTCGATTCACGACCTCATCTCATTTCTGAGATTGAGAGGTCGCTTCAAACTTTTTTTTTTTTTTTACTGTATGCAGTACTTCAAATGGGTGATTTCATTTTTCCTGTTGTGCCATAATATTAGACGTCTTTGCAGGATTCTGTGAAACTAGAAAATATTTTCTAACATCTCTTGTCTACAATAAAGTTTTCTGTGAGTCTCTGCTGCCCCGACACCTCATCAGTGGTTTAAACTTTACAGGTTTTCGGTGTCGTTGCTACTTGGCTGTGTAGATGCTGTGGTTTTGGTACTGTATGTGTAGTTTTGTTAAGGGACACGATAGAGCAGCTATGTACAGATGCATTGTTAACTTCTTTGTAGTTCTATCTGCTGTATAAGGGCCAATCATTATACTGAAGTAGTCCACGTATAGTTTAGCACTGAACGAGGCAGGGTTCAGATCCTTTACGAGCATTAAGTGCCAATTTTGAAAGCATGATGATTGTATGACTAGTAGTGTACATTAATACCATCTGTAATATTCTGTAAGGAGTCATGCTTGTAAGATTATATGTTTTAAAAAAAAGAGAAAAAAAAAGGACTCAAAATCATTTTTCTTTACACGCTCATCTCGATTAACTTCTCCTGGAAGTTAAGTAACATAAAATTGGTTTCAGAGTTGGAATTGGTTCATCATTTTGCATTTTTTTGAATAAAGAAATTTTCACTCCTATAACCGGTGTTGAGTATTTATCAAAGGTAAAGGTTTCCTGCAGTTCCTGTGGGATTGCACGCCACTTGTTTAATCTCTATCGCCTACTTTCTGAACATCTGCTGCTACTTTTACCCGCATCAAACATCAATAACATGCGGATACTACAGAACTTTGCAGATTGAGTCTTTACATTTCATGCAAACAAATAGCTACGACCAAAAAAAGTTTGCAGTTTAGAGTGTAATCATATAGCACATGACTTTAGGATTATTATAGGCAATATTATAGCATTGTTTTAGATGTTTAGACTGTGTTTGGTGCCTAATATCCTTGTTTAGACTTTAATTAATATAATTTACGGATGAGTTTAATACATAAAATTAGGAAATTATCAGTGTTGGATTTAACCTGTGGGCTATAATGTTTAAATTTTGCCCTCGTGAATGAAATATCTTGATGATTTAATAACATTTCAGGCACAATCATTCTTTCTCCCATTTAGAAACCTTCATTAAAATGTTTTAATTTGGTCCCTTAAAATTATTTCACCCAGTTAAAACAACCGGAGGGGTCCACATCTGCACAGACATAAGGATGGATAGTCTTCACTTTTTGCCACATCACCAGTTTGAACACATATTACTCCAGTATTACAACTGGTTTTGGAGAGTTTAAGGGTGAGCAATCCTGCATGTTTTAGACATTTCTCTCTTCCAACACACCTGATTCAAATGATCAGGATCGTTATCAGGCTTCTGCAGAGCTTGATGATGAGCTGATCATTTGAATCAGGTGTGTTGGAAGAGAGAAATGTCTAAAACTTGCAGGATTGCGGCCCTCGAGGACCAGAGTTCGACACCCCTGGCTTAAGCTGTAGCGAGAGGCTGGGACTTCAAAGATCTGCACATTCTCCTGGTCCTCGAGGGCCACGACCCTGCATGTTTTACGTTTCCCTCTTCCAACACACCTGATTCAAATGATCAGCTCATCATCAAGCTCTGCAGAAGCCTGATAACGATCCTGATCATTTGTTGGAAGAAGGGAAACATCTAAAACATGCAGGACTGTGGCCCTCAAGGACCAGGATTGGACACCCCTGGTGTAGAGTTACTTTAAGTCTCTTTAAGGCAGGAATGGAATATTTTCTTACAAAAAAAACCTTCAACATATGTAACTCTGGTACACAGAGATCAGTTTTTAGGGGTTTATTCAATGACTGGAGAGGGATTCAAGTTTAACACTCAAGACGACTACAGCCGTGCTAGCAGCTCTGCAACGCCGTGAACCAGATACCAACATCTCATATGCCACACGATTAGCTTAATGGAGGTCATTAATATTGTAGACATTTGGTTATTAATCTCTCGGGACCATAAATTCCCAGGAATGAATGTCATCTGAAACGCAAAGCTGCTAGCATGACTCATGACCCAATCATTACCAAGCAGTCATCAGGCTAATGTTAGTGCAGTAATCACGTTCGCTGGATCCTTCCAAGGTTTTTGACTTGGCTATTGTTCCATTTATGATGTTCGGACAAATCAAGAGATACACAGTGAGCAATCGAGTAATGTGCATACAGCGTAGTGACGACATACTTTAATCAAAATCTGCAAATTCAACACTGGGACTCCACTTTGTGACTGTTTATTGGAGGCATTCAGTTAGAAAGTCATAGAAAGAGCTGCCATATGAGCCAAATGTGTCTCTTCACTCACATAACACTACATGCCTGCATAATCACTATCTAAAGATCAACTTTTTAAGCACTGGGGAGAAAAAAAAAAAAGTCTTATACAAATCTAGCTTGGACATAAAGAAAATCAAAGTTTAAAAACTGTGGACACATGTTCCTCAGGACTACGTCTCTGAATGCTTCCCTGAAACGCTGCTCGACAGTGATGATCAATGATAATGGGGTAGAGACAATAGCCTCGTAAGAGACCACAAAAAGTAAAATGGCATTTTATAAAAAGTTTTAATGTCATTAAGCAAAAAACAAACCGGATAAAGAGACAAATTAAAACCACACCCCCGTCCCCCAAAAAAACTGACAATAAAAATAAAACGTTTGGTGAACATAGGGAACACACAGAGGTTTCAAATCAACAGTGAAGTACGTCTACTTCCAAATACAAGACAAGATCCATGAAGAGGAGACTTCTGTTTGGCCGGAGGAGGACTCATCTGGACTGCTCGACTGCAGACGGACACAGGAGAGGAGACATGAGTTGAGCGTGTAGAAGATCAGCGCGATGAGCAACAGCTGAGCATACCGGCTTTTCACCAGCAGGTTAAACATGTAAAGGATTTGAAGGGAACGCCGCGGCTGCATGACAGCAACAAGTGTTGTCTCTCGTTGCCATAATGACCGTTTATTACACCGGCTGATTATGTCGGGGGGGAAATCTTCAAAAAGATTTCAGCATTAGCGGTTTGTTGTTTTGATTGTGGAGCGCTTTAAAAGGCCTTTATTGAAACATCAAGCACCAACGCACGGCGACAGGCATTCAGAGATGGAAAACTTACTGTAAGAGGAGATGTCGATCTCGTCGGGCAGCTCGGCCACGTTGACCTCGAAGCGGTCCTGCACATCGTTCAGAGTCTTGGCATCGGTCTCGTCAGACACAAAGGTTATAGCCAGGCCTTTGGTCCCAAACCTACCAGCACGGGCAACCTGACGGGTTCAGCGAAGGAGAAGAGTGAGTGGAACGCGTGCACCAAATACGTTGCAAAAAAACAGAACATGGCATTTAGAAGAAGGTGGGAAAAGGTGGTTCAGGTATTTCCCGTCTCGTTTCTCACCCTGTGCAAATAGGTGTCAGAATCTTCTGGCATGTCGTAGTTGAAAACGATATTGACTCGCTCGATGTCCATCCCTCGGCCAAAGAGGTTCGTGGCCACCAGGATCCGCCTTTGGAAGTCCTTGAATTGCTGATAGCGAGACAGCCTGGGGAGAGGGGTAAGAAGGGGGCAGGAGGGAGGACGGAGCCAGCCAGAGGATTATCAACACAGCTGCTGTCGGCATTACCGGACGGCATCCCTCCTTTGAAGGGTGAGGCCTCATGCTGCCATAAACCCACTTAGCATTCGAAGCATATGTTTGTGAGCGTAAGAATGCGAGAGGAAGATGTCTGACGGGAGTCTCACCTTTCCTCCTGAACCATTCCCCTGTGGATGGCGATGGCAGGGAAATTCTGTTCCACCAGGAGCTGAGAGAGAGCGATGCAGCGCTGAACAGACTTGACAAAGATCACCACCTAGAGGCAAAGCAGGGGCATTAAAATACAAAACTTAAAAGTTGTAGCTGGTCTTCTGATGTTGCTCTGACCACTCACAAAAAAAACAGACATTTAAAAAGTAGTTTGAGATTTTAAATAAAAAAGCAACAGGAAGTCCTGCTCCTCTATGGAAACAGTACAATCATGGCTTCAAAGAGAGAACTCCAAATTGTTGGAGCACCAGAACACAGCCATCATGTCATAACTGAGCAAAACTGAAATAAATAAATACATTTTTAAGTGCCTATAGACGGTACTAACACTGACGGGGAAGACAGTGGCTCCACATACTATATATATTCATACAACCACAAAAAAAGACAATTTCATGCTACTCTGCAAACCAACTCCATCAAGATATTTCACAATGCTGAATGTATCTCCCAACAAAAGTTCAAACGAGATATCACATTAGAGATTTTGATAAAACAACACAATAGAAAGCTTAGATTCTGTTAATTTTCCCATCAGAACGGAACAAAACCCGATCAATTCAAGTTCCACCGAATAGTTAAAAACACAACAATCTCTTCTGTTTTCACATTTTCTGCTCCTGACGATTGAGGTAATTTCTTTCAAACACAACACGTCTTTCAAACCCACTGTCAGACTTGTATTTCAGGGGGATAAACGAGAGGATCAATAACACTCATGACTAGCGGGTGGACTCTGTTCCCTCTGGAAAAAGCCAAGCTAGCAGTTCACAGAAATTTAACTGGCTGAATTTAGCTTCAACTGGATGCTGCTTTATAGTTGATCTACAAACTTCAGTAGGATTGTTCTTCACATATGCAATTAAATGCAATTCTTGTGATATCATAATTTCTTCTTTGGCAATGTTTGAATGCCTGCGGCTTCGTAAAATCTAGCAAAAGTGGAGCAACTCAAAATCCTGCTGGGGCAGACAGGCACCATTGATTTACCTGATTGAACTCCAACACATCAAGCAGGTCGAACAGCTTGCGGTTCTTCTCGCTGTCCTTCAGTTTGCAGTAGTACTGTTGCAGGCCGTGGAGTGTAAGTTTGGTCTCGTCATCCACAAACACCTCCATGGGCTGCACATGAGATGGCAGGTGGAAGAGATGCAGATACATTTAGAGTGCAGCAGGTTTTATCAGCAGCACATTATGACAACAGTGAGAATGTAATGTTTGAGGGGGCTTTGATTCTCGAGCAGTTTTTTTCCTGACAAAACAGGAAACTAAGAGGAAATTCTAGAGCAGCAATAATCCTTCATTGTTTACTTACATCCTGCATGAATTTGCGGCACACTGGTCGGATCTCCTTGCTCAGCGTGGCACTGAACATCATGACCTGCTTCTCGTGGGGTGTGATCCTGAAGATGTCCTGAACGTCACGCCTCATGTCTGCCACACAAAAAGAAATTCTGATTAAATCCTGTGCTCGACCTCCTTTCATACAGTAAAGTGGAGTCTTTGAGAACTGGTAAGGAAATGAACAGCCGAAAAGGAACGCACCTAGCTGCTCCAACATTTTGTCGCACTCGTCCAGGACAAAATGCTTGACGTTCTTCAGGCTGAGGGTCTTGTTCCGGATCAGAGCGAGGATGCGCCCCGGCGTTCCGACCACGATGTGAGGGCAGTTCTTCTTCAGGACCTCCTCGTCCTTCTTGATGGCCAGGCCACCGAAGAATACCGCTGCTTTTACGGTGGGCATGTACTTGGAGAAACGCTCGTACTCTTTACTGATCTGGAAGGCCAGCTCTCGCGTGTGGCACAT